CAACCTGTCGAATATATTCGTTATTCATGATTTTTGGTCTCCCTGAGTCCAGTTCTTTGCTTAAACTGAGATCTCCCGAACTGAGACAGAACTACTCATTTAAAACACTCAAAACTTGGAGAAAAATCCATCTGCCTACAATATCTTTCACACGAAAGTAAAGCAACTACAAAAAGATAAACATGTACTAAAGTGACATACCCTCAGAAAGTTATCCCTTGTTCTAACATAAGTTATGACAGCTCAAAATTCAAAATCATGATCAATGTAATGTAGTAAGCTCAAAAGAAGATGACATGTGAGCACAGCCCTATATTTGGATACGTAAAATATCAAACAAAATCAACACTCTAAGAATTTCAGTCAGCAATAATCAACATATTAATATCTATAAAATACAAAATTGAAATGATATTTTACCTGTTCACATCAGGGTTCTTTTTATCAACGGAAAGTGATGGCATCCAACAAAATCTGCTGCGAAACAGCTACAAGGCAGCTACAAAACAAAGCTGCAGGAGTGTGAATGGTGGTTCTCCGAATGCCTTTCCACTAAAAGGAAGCAGATATTGTACAAACTTCTTCAGGACATGCAAATTGGACGTGGTCCGATGGTATACAAAAAAGAACTTACCGCTGAAATTTAAAATCACATTATAAAATGGACGGGCTAGTACCCAAACCAACACAACTAAACGTAAGGTACAAAATAAAAGGGTACCGCTCCATAAACTGGTGTTTGGGGCGTTAATATCCCAAAATCCGGAAGTTAACGAAAAAACGCCCACACACAACCAAAACCACAGCAGAAAGAAAAAGAAAATGGCACTGGACCGTCTGCGCACGCAACCCCCTAAAAGAAGGTATCTTGATAGTAAATCAAATATTCATATACGGCTAATACGTGTAGAAATCACGCGCTGGTTGCCAATGGGCAGACTGTAGGCAGAACCAGCTCTACGAGGGTCCAACGATATTTTATGAGGAAATTCCGAAGATAGTCGTTAATAATACTATAACATTAGTGTCCAAAAGATTTCAAGACAATACTGAGGCGCTTAGAAAGAAATATATAATACCTGTCAGATTATACAATCAATAAACTATGAAATTTGCCAAAAGAAAATCATTAAAAAGGGTTCGGCCTAGGATTGGGCACTCCACTATTAATAAGGAGAAATTCACTGGTAAGTGATCAAAATAGTAAAAAAAAAGTTACGTGATTTTGCAACGTGACGTGTACGTCTTGGGGAGGGCGCACGTCAAACTATTCAAGTCTAGCAGGGCAATGTTTACACCAAGATACAGCAATATATACCATTTTTTTGAAAAAAATGGCAGATTTGTGCGTCTAGGAGAAGAGCGCCTTCTCGAAGTCCGCTCTTGCATACTCCGACTTCACTGGATGCTGTCTCCTTGGAAAAAGATGCGTCTGTATAGCGTAAAAGACTGTGGGGCAGGAACTTCGTTTCTTTTGTGACGCTTTCTAGTAGAACGATCTACTTCAACCAATACTACTTTGTCAAAAAATAAGAACCTAGATAGTCCTCTAATGTGATTTTCCATGCCTCAAAATTTGTAGTCTATTGCCATACCGAGACAGGTATATTAGCAGATAACTCCCTAAAGATAAAAAGTGGAACCGGAAGGCAGTAAAAGGATTCATCCCATGGGCTATTTTCGAAACAATTCCGCCAGCAAGCAAGATATAAAACCTGAAAGTATAAAACCCATCGTACACTTCGGTAAAATACGATCTGCTCAGTATTCCTGCTAGCTCACTGCTTTCTTGGCGTGTGCTCGCTGAACAATGCTAAAAAGCGGACCGTACACTATTCCAATGTAACCAACATCTTTGACCTCAAAAACGTTGTAATTTCTTCAGAATGTTGTATCTACTTCTTTTTAACCTACTAATTTCAATATTATGTGCAAAAGTTTAATGGAAAGCTCTTGTGACACATATGCGGTATTTCAGTCGCCCTTTTCAGATCACCATCTACACGCATTGTATGGATAGCCACAGGTTTTTTTGAGTCTCAGTGAGTTATTGATATCATTCCCCGATCAATTACGAATCTAAAGCTTAAGACAAAGTAAAATTGATCAGGTGAACAAGAATGTGAATGCTCTCACTAGGGAAAGATGTTTATTGGAAGGATCGAGTAGCTACACAAGAAAAAACTCAATCATCACCTAGACTTGAGACGTCTACTTTTCAACAAATTAGCCAACTTCATAAAGCAATTTTGTATAACTGAAATACTGTTGATTGTAGTGAATTACTAAACTTTTACAGCTTGAGGTTGGTAGCATCACTTGAGAGTTTCTATGTTTTTACGGGTTCCGAACTTACTAACCAAAAAAAGCATGGGAATATTTAAAATGTATGTATCTGGCGTTCTTTAACCGCCAATATTTTTCAGCAACATAAAGCTTGTCAGAAAAAATCGAGCTATACTTTTCAATCCTGCATCTCCTGAGCATAATGCGTAAGCAAAAAGCAGTAAAAAGTACGTCCTGGATCTTTCCGTGCCTCCAAACAACTTCTCAGATATAACTATTGTTTGACTAAAATAAAAGCTTATTCTATGCACTTGGTTCCTTTAAGTAAAAGGAAATGGTTGTTACACTTATGCACTACAACTTAAAATACTTTGCAAGTGCAGTCTACAATGCGAATTCATGAGGTGTATATTAATACAATGTAATAATTGAAGACGCAAGTGGATAAAGGTGGCATGTAACAAAATGGAGAAAATTGACTTTAAACATTTTTATTGGAACATTTTACTTTAGTGAAATTTAAAAAAATACTTTTTTCAATTAGCTTGTTATTATATTGCTTTTGCAACAAAGTAATCACAGAATAAGAATAACTCCTTAAGGCTAGTTTAATGTAAAAAACAATTAAAAAAATACATCACACCTTTATCCACTTGTGTCTTCGCGAGTTCGTCTATTATTTAAATGTATGGCCTCATCTCTTTCTTTTGATACATTTTTCTAGTTATCTACTTGACATTTGGAGTGAGGATAGTTAGTTTGTGATCCCAGAGACCAAGCCTAACCCATGCTGATGAGTTGGCAAAAAGCACGAAGCAGCTGTCCATGATTGCTTGCCTGTCATCGGATGGACGAAAGCACAACAAGCGTTTGGCTTATTCATTAGCAAGTAGACCACATCTATTATACCGCCAGGATCATCAGCCTCTAGGGAGTCACATTGATGACTGAGCTATCTAACGCGAACTGAGATGTTTGCAGATCCAACCGACACCTATTATACACTCTTGCAATGGTCGATTCTCCTGATTTGATTTCATAGATACTATTATTATTACAAGAATGTCATCAAAATATTACCGCTGAGCCTCCGAAATCCTATGAACAGATGTCTCGTAGTTCGTAGTTGTCAAGGGCGAGGCATACCTTTTGGTTCTTAGTGATCTTGATTCGAAGTTTTACGAACAAAACAACCTCGAAACGCATGTTGTTTCAGCTGGATTTGGAAACTTCAAAGTAATTTTGATCTCGCCTGGTCACGATACAGATAGGAAATGATATTGTGATACCTCACTTCAACTGATGTGTATCTAGAAGTTATAGACAATTTCGCATCATATGAATGACGGTAAAGCGACAACCAAATTTATTTAGACTGATTGTCTGTCGCTTGGCGCCCGTCCAACTAGCAACGTAGGGCTGGTTTTTGGTAAGAGGTAAACGCTCTCTTTTGTTATTGCCTGGACACCAAAAGGGTGGCTAAATGTATGAAATGCAAATGTGCTTCTTGTAGCGTATTTGACCTAAAATGAGGTGTCTAAAACACTCTTGTAGCATACTTATACAACATCTTATAGGAAATCGTAAATGTCTATACAAATATTTTATACAACATATTGGCTCGATAATCAAAATAGCTGTGTTTTGTCATCCATGGTAATATTTATACAACGATCCTGGCTTGACTTGCTGTTTCCGTGTGCAAAAAAATACGACTTTAACCAACAAGTTGTTCCCAGGGGAAGCATTTATACAACTGTCGTTAAGTAATAGTTGAAGCTCTACATCTGCAACAATGTCATAACTTTTTTAGTACAAAATTGCTGTGATCGGCATACATTTATTCCATGATCTAAGTTTCAGCTGTCTTTTTAAGTTAAATGCCATAGCCAATATTTTTCTTCTTCGTTACAGTCATCACAAAAATATTCATTGTAAAGGTTTTATCAACTTTTCAAACATATACAAATTCTCAGTAAAACATCTAACTGTGTCCATATTTCATTTCAGAGATTTGCCATTTGGTGTATAATACCTGCGAATAACACCAAACTGTTCTAATAATCCAAATAGGATAACGCGGATGCCATGATTAGACATATAACCACACGACATATTGGCTAAAAAATATTATCCTCTCTTGAAAATCAAATAATGATGTTTCAGTCCAACATTACAGGTCGAAAATGATCAGTGCAATTGCATCTAAGTATAGGATTTGTGGAGTATTTAATGCAGATAAGTTTAGATTTTCATCTTAAAAATCCAAATATACTTTAAATCATTATTAAAATATGAATCAAATACGAAGCCCATATAAATTGTCACTATTTTGTGCGATAATCACAATAAAATTTACTGCTCAAGTCATTCAATAGTCTTATATCACGGTGTTGAAGCTTATCATATACCTTGCGTATGAAATTCCCAATGGCGGATACGTCAGTAAACAAGAATAATGCAACGTGTTAGTTTGAAAATATGCTTTTGCAACCTACAATGGTATGTGAAGAATAATGTACCTTCGTTCTTGCAATCCTAACAGGAGTGATAATTGTTATTTGGGCGAGCGGTGATGATTCAGAACACTTTTCTAATTCCCTACTACAGAGCGCTTATTCCTTTTATCCATCTTACCCGATATCTCGTTTTGCAAGTGTATGGTCTCCCACGGTAGTGTCCGTCCGCGAACGCCGTGACGCAAGTGACGTCATCACGGCTAAATGCGCCGCGGCAAGGCACACCACGACTACGATATACGAAATCCTAATCCAGCGACTCAGTCTCCGTGCTATGAATTCTTGTCGTGGTGCTGTGATAAAACATTTGTGACTCGGCGACATTCTTTTGTTTTCGTTCTGTGCCCCGCTCCTGTTTTCTGGATATTGTCGCGACAATTTAATTGTCAAAGGTGAGTAGATTTTATGGTGAGCTTAGCCAGGTGCGATACTGGTTAAGCAAGAAGTAACCTTGCTTTTTTCGTGTTCGGTCAAGGGTAATGTTTAATGTTTGTTTACCATATTTGTAATGAGATAATGGAGCTTATCACTTGACTGTTTAATAGGAACATCCTACATGTGTACAACAAATCACGTCTGAGGCAACTCTAATGTGTTCAGCTATGAGTATTATTTCCAAGAATTTTTGTTATTTACCGACCATTGGACGGTTCTAAGAAACGTTTTGGTACAACTAGTCCGCCTGAGAGTGACTTACGATTGCGTTAAATATTCTAATTATTCTAACTTACTTATTCCACGTCTTAAAGTGTCTTTCTAAGGCAGAGATGCCAAAACGAATAGATACCCCTTTCTAAAAAACAGTAACTTATTGAGTGTCCTACTTCAGTAAGTATCCTAACTAATCCTAGAGAACGCATCTACCTTACTACAAATGTCGCGCAACATAGCTTTATAGGTAGAATAAATCATAAATAAAAATAACTGATAACCGAGTATAAAATAATGACAACTACATATATTCTTTGTGGACTCTTTTTTTCCTCCATATCCCGGAACTTGTAAAGAAAACTGTGTAAAAACTGCAAATATTATTTATCTGTGTTAATTCTGATGCGATAATATTATATGGAACATGTATATAAATAGATATCGTTTCACAATATTACAACTATTCCCACATAGTTTTTGGAAAAGATATAGTTTGTTGCAGCAAAAGCAAGACAGCTGGAATCCTTATTTATGATTTTTCTGCTTCATTTGTTTTTTGACATGAACTACTTACAATGTTTCTGGTTCTGACTAAGTTGTAACAGGAAGATAGAATCACTCCTAAGCAAGAACAATAGAGCAAATAAAACATTACTAAAGGTAGTTGTTATTATCATTGTATCGTATTAATGAGGCCCTTAAAACTATTTTCATTAACGCAGTTAGTCGGTATGTTTAGTCGTCAGATGTAGAATGTCAGGTACCAGTCATTATCAGTGGGGAGAAGGGAAGAAACAATGAGGTGGAAGAAAGGAAACAGGAAAGTGAACAGAAAAGTCACACCTACAGACGAAAATGTATTGACTTTATTAAATAAAGTACAAATATGATTGATGCAATACAATTGTTGTAACGAAGAGTTGCTTCTATTATGTATGTATCGAAGAAAGAGACTAAACCAAAACAGTGATCATCGCATGATTATTGCGTGATCAGTACACTGATATATTTCAAGAGAGGGAGCAGAACTGTTATTGGGCAGAATAGGTCGAGCCCTTACACTAAACCAATGACAATCCAGAGGGTGGAGTGGGAGACGATACAACCGTACATGCCGGCTGTCCCGGTGGCTGGCCGTACAGTACAGAGTTGGCATCAGATTTATACTGGTATTACTGTCTGCCTATTAGATTTGTCAGTTTAATTTCGTAGAACTCAAAATGTCTGATACGGATACAGCTGATGAAGTTGTTGATATAGGCTGCACACCGCCAAAAAAAGAGCTAAAATGCTTCATTTTAGCATTAGCGAAAAACAAATAATTATCAAATTTATAAATAAGATATGCAAGGAAGGAGTGACTCAAGGACTTCAGGACATTGTTTGCAAAGCTGACACCTACATATTTTTCAATACTTGTAAGACGAGGAATTTCAACTAAAATTATATTTTATTTTCGTTTTTGTACATGCTTAAACTATATCTAGATAAGAAATCAAGCAATCATTTTGTTGGGTTTTTAATGCTTTCAATAGGAGCGGTTTTTAAGTGTCTAAAAAGAATTATTTTTAGGAAAATGTAAGCGATAGATAATTTTCCACATAAGTAATGATGGTGGATTTGTGTCCGATGCTTTATGGGCATTTGAATGCAAAGAAACGGGAGAATACCATGAAGAAATGGATGGATCCTCGATCGAAAATTGCTTCTCAAACACTCTACCGAAGCTTGAAGATAATTCGGTTATATATTATATATTAGATAATGTTTCATTCCACACGAGAAAATTAGAGAAAATTCCAACAACGTCAAAAAAAATCAGAAATTCAAAGCTTAAAAATAAAAAGATTGATTATGATGATACAACTGTTAAGGCAGAATTGTTACAAATTGCCAAGACGCATAAAAATAAATATAACCAGAACATAATTGATGAGATGGCCATAAAACAAAATAAAACTGTTTTACGACTGCCTCCTTACCATTGTGAGCTCAATCCGATTGAGCTCATTTGGGCAGACGTAAAAGAATATGTTGCAGCAGAAAATAAATGTTTTAAATTTTCTGACCTTAAAAATATTTTTCATGATGCTATACAAAGAATAACACCGAATAAGTGGGAAAATGTATCAGCATGTATCATTGATGCTCACGTTGCCCCTTCAATCATAAATCTTGATGACAGTGGGAGTTCCACGGCCTCAGATCTAGAATGATTTTCATTTTCAAATATATGTAATAAATTTTTGTATAATATTTAGTATATATTATTATGTAAGTATTCAAATCCGTTTTCTTTCAACTCCACCTAACTATTAATTTTTTAGTCTAATATTAAAATTAGGTTTGCACACTGACGTCCCTGTTCAAGCGGCGGTTAGGTATACTTGTATGCATATGCAATTATCGTTTTAACGTGTCAAGGAATTTTTTAAAAGCCTGCTTTATAAATGTGCCTTACGACACATTTCGAGTATAATTTCTTGATGAAACACTTCTACTAAAAACAACAATAGACAGTTGTTTTCTTTTTGGTCATGACAGTTAAATTTAAAAAAATACATTTATTCCAAGCTTTACGTTTGGATCCTATACATACCTGCAATAATTCTGCATACTTTTTGATCGTGTAGTAGAACCACAAATCATTTATTTTTAGTACGGCCCTGAAACGTGCTCGGCGTTCTGGAGCGCGATCAGGTGGAGTATACGTGAATATGTTTAGGTTTGGTCTTTTTCTTCGATGGATACATAATAGTCAACGTAGATACTAGACTGTGGTCTGTTGTTACAACACTTCGCATACCACAGCTTCAAGCTGGAAATTATTACACTGAACAATGACATGTATACTCAAAGAACTCAAAATTCGAACACATGGCGCTATTACTACTTACTCCTTTACTGTTGTGGCTGAAATATGTAGCTATGTTAACAAGGAAACGTTTATTATTGATCCAAGAAAAAATCTACCTGGCAGTAATCCAACAATTGTATCCTGATTCGTCAAATGACTAACGTTCGAAGAAATTATGTAAATATAATGTACTTCCTGGAAATATGCATGAAAAAACATCTGGTTTTCAATCGGAAATGGAAATTCATGTGAGTCAATCAGCTTTGTATTGAAAATCACAAATATATGGCTTGCTTTTAGCTCAATTGATATATTTATTATTTGGCGTAGCAGTTCTAACAATGATATGTTATTCATTACGATAAATACCAAATATCAAATATTATAGTTTATTACAGTATAGTAATTATGTATGTACCATGTAAGCGTTTCATTATTTTTGTCAAAGTACTTGTCAATTCTGTCAGTCAATACGTGGTTTTCTAGTGTTAACTTAATTTCGCTCCTTGAAATTCATTTCGAAGTCATCTTGCTATCATCCCTTTCCGAAGAAGTACATTTTTGAATGTTTGAATCCATCATCACGCAGCGTTTTCCACACTTTAGTCTGCTTGAAGAATTTTCTTCTACATCAGTTTGCACAATGTAAACAAACTTACGCGATCTTGAATGACGTCTGGGAAAGCGATCTGCATCCACTCGCGAAGCCTCGATAGCATTTTGAAGACGCTCACCATAAATTAAAATAATATCAGTAGGCTTGATTTTGCTGTACGAAATCGCGGTTTTTTCGAATCGATTGGTGAATGAATGTTCTATCTACCTACGCTGCCACCGCCTGGATTGAGTACTGACGTACGTCTTCTCACTTTTGATCTGATCGAGATACAGGAGCGGATGAGATTTGGTTTAGGTTTGACTGATTTTGCGGAGCCTAATATCTCGGTTATCTTAAGAATTTGCGATGTATTTGCTACTAGAAAAAAATTGCTTATTGTTTTAATATCTATACGCCCTGTAAAGAAAAGTCCCTACTTCGGATATCCTGTATAAGCCAAAGGCATCGTATGAAGCATAATCTATATAAAAATAGGTTTCCAAATTAAATTGAAAATTGTGTTGCTATAATAATATTCAAAAATGCCATGATAATTTCGATACAGGAGTCAGTAAGAATCAGGTGCCAAAATCATCATGACGGTATATTCTCCAAGGTGGCTCACCCCTATAACTCGTTCATTATTCAAGATAGAAAAATGAATTTCAGGGATTGCGTATTATAGAAGAATTTACATTGTTTGACATACTCACTTGCTTTGACGAACTTGCGGTTTGACCGGAAACGACTCCAACTTTGGATTTTTAAAGGGACATTCTGAACTCAACAGCGCCTCACTTGTCAATACCTGACAAATAAAGTAATTTTTATTAATTTTTTATTTTTCGATCTAGAATGGGTTCTGTAGATAGCTTCTCATTTTTGATCAAGTAACACGGAAAAATCCGATTTTGACGACGTGACAGCCGTTCAAGTAAACCGAAAAAGTTTTTGTAACGTTTAGAAAATCTTTAAAACGGCTGTAAGGTCGTTAGCCTCAAAATCGGATTTTTCCCGTGTTAGTTCATCAAAAACTAAGCGATTTACACAGGATCCCTGGCATTCTAGATCGAAAAATAAAAAATTTAATAAAAACTACTTTATTTGTCAAATATTGACAGTGAGAAGTTGTTGAGTTCAGAATGTGATAGTCGATCGAAATCAGAAAAACTATATAGGGTGTCACTTTAAAAATCCAAAGTTGGAGTCGTTTCCGGTCAACCCGGAAGTACGTCAAAGCAAATAAATATGTCAAGAAATGTAAACTTATCTGTCATACGCAACCCTCAAATTTCGTTTTTCAATCTTATCCTATCAATAATAAAAAAGTTATAGGGGTGAGTCACCTTAGAGGATCACCCGGTTTGTATGTCGGCAAGTTAACATCAATATTAATTTCAAGTGTCAAAATTCACTTTGTAATTAAGCCCATCTATGTCTTAAGTAAATGCTTGTACTAATATTGTCTGTTTATATATGAGCATAGTTAAAAACTGTCCATTATTGTCAACCAAAACAAAAATGTTCCTATATAATCTACTGTCTACTCCTGTTAGTTTATCTTTGATATAACACTTTGGTAACTGTTACCCAGTGATTATTCTAATGTTTCGAAACAGTCGCATAGCTTATCACGGTGTAAAAATATTATAGAAAGAACGCATGTTCATTAGTTTTATTTTCCGCTACCTATGTATACCTTTCCATAATTATCATTTATTACTTAGTTGCCTTCCAAATTACACTTTATGTCTGGATTCTATTTTTATTCACTGTAGTCATAGCGTGCTAGCTACCATCGATTATTTCACTTCCTATGTGCGTTTCATTTCGCAAAAACGCAAACTATCCACCATGCTAAAATAGAACATAGAAACCTATGAAGACTGTCTTACACATGATCTTATGGAATTCCTCCCTCACCATCACTGTCAACATTAACATTCTCATCATCATCAGATTTATTTTGACATTTTGAAAGTTAAACCTACCATAGACATATTTGCAGCAATACCAATGTTTTCAAAATTATGATGGACTTTTTTTGTATTACTAGTCTGCCTTAAAATGACCTTCAGCTAAAAATGGCAACACAATTTGGCGCAATTATTTGCGAATGGACACCTCAGCCTATTGTAAATTGCTAGGGTTAGTAACAGAGGTTTCTGATAACCACACTTTTTTCAACTCTTTTTTGTCGCTGACCTCAACGAGTTTATTTTGTTGGAACAGTCTCTTTATTTGCCATAGGGTCTATTTCTTTGTATTTTTTATAAGGTCCTCATACGCTACGTTTTTTTATTACGGTGAGTATAGTCGAGAAAATCGTGGGTGCATTGTCACAAGTCTGATTTTATTAGGTTTTTTGGGAAAAAGGAAGTGAACTGAAGTGGAGCTACTCGTGTACTGAGCCAAGATCGGACATCTTGTCTGAACATGAGTCTACACGTTTCGTTTTGTCCTATCAGTTCTCGCAAAATGATGCTTTTCCCATCAGTTTTTCAATCTGACCTTGGATTTCATATCGATTCGACAAGAAAGAGGGTTTGCTGTTTACTCACTACGTTTTATTGGATAGGATTTGTCCTGTCCCACAAAACGTACAATAAGTTGCATTTTGTTTATGAAAAAATATGTATGTCGCACATTGTAGACACAGATAACTAACCGTTGATATAAATATGTTAATAGCTATAATTAATCTTGAAACACGCATGTTCTCTACCACGTTCATAATTACTTGATTCAATTTGAAAAAAACCAACGAGTAAGACCTTGCGACAGAATAAATGCAAAAGCAGAATAGTGTAATTTTATTTCATTGCCATATTCTTATACGGTAACGGCTCGGTATGCAGTTGTTTCCGGAAAAAATCGTATGTATTTTAGCCATATTTGTCTTAAACAGTGTCATTCGTTACGCATATGAGGCATATAAATAGATTCAAGTAGACTAACTCAGTCCATCTGTCATAAAAAGTGGAACAAGATTACCTGAACTGGATATTCGCTATGAAGGGCATGCTGGAAATACAAACGCAGGAGTTTGCTTATGAAGGCTCGTTTAGGAGCCCGAAAGATTCAGAATCCTTGGAATGGCGGCATGGACAACCTAGCATAAGGTAACCAAAAGAATTGAAAGCCAATATTATTCACAAGGGCCTAAAAAGTACAATAGGAAGGTGTTGAAAGCTACAGTAGGTTTTAGTCTGTAGTAGTTGTTCTAAGAGAACTATTCCTGGTCGTGGTAAATCCCAGCAAGCATCACCGTCTACCTCAATTACCAGTATTTTTCGACCTCTTTTGTGATCACTCAATACCCAAAACTCAAGATGAGACGTTGTTAAAACCTACATGAGATATCGCGCTCTGGTCCTGGTCCTATAAGACAGAAATCAGCTCTTTGTCGGGCACACCTATTACGATCTAATCTCATGCGATCTGTAACCCAAAGAAATTATCTACTGGTCTTTGCCAATGTCTTTAAGGTAGTGTGGCAGTAGCAGACTGTTTGAGCTGCTGCGACTTAACACCAGGGCCACTCGACTATTTGTGTTAACATAGTTTGTCTTTATATTGTATTTTATATTCAATATAACATCCAACAAATTCGGAATATGTAGAAGGAGCAGGAATGTGGTTTATTTTGATCCACGAAATTATAGTCAGTATTCAAGTCGCAAGTGTATACGTATACCATAAGCTGATCAAACTCACGCCGCCAATTCTTGACATTTCGCATTAAATTCCAATTTTTCTGAGAAAAAAAAGTGAGTGGGTTTCCATATAGTTCTGGTTTACCAGACAATTGCCATTTCTTGGATTGAAAAAAGCAGTTCAAGCAAAATATTTTTCATCGGTAATTGGTCATCTGCGTGGCCATTACCTGAAGGTGAGTCCCAGTATGTTTCATCCTAGTTGTTTTTACTTCCCACGCCCGCTGGCGGGGAAGTATTGTAATCGCGAAAATTTTCAAAAATTATATATGTCTTTTGGATGTTATATCACATGTACTTTCACTTATTTCCGTATGTCTGTCAGTCTGCCTGTCGGTTTGTCCGCTAATGTTACATCGCTTATAGCTTGAGAAGCACTCCTCGGATTTTGACAAGATCTTTACACAATATTACTACTATGCCATACTTGTAGTTTTGAAAATCGGTCAAGTAGCGGCAGAGAAAAATGCCAAAAGCGATGGAGAATGGAAATCGCTCAAATTTCGTTTTTTGACGTTGCAGGGGATCCTGATAAGTTTGAAAAAGATTTTCGAGTAGGGGGTTGGGGAGGCTTTGTATCAATTCCTTGAGGTTAGTGGGTTTATATATATATATATATATATATATATACTCCCAACCTTGGCAATTCTAGGTACATATTATACATATTTCACACATCATAGACTTCTCCGTACATTAGCCCTAAATACTAGAAAAATATTTCCAGCAAACGGATCGCGTACCTGTCGGCCGCGACTGCTGCTACCAGCGACGCGATCTAACGTCGGCCTTGGTGAGTTCTGCTGTTCTGCTATGGTGTTTAGTATTACATGCTGTGCTCTGACCTCTGACCGCGCTGCCAATTCTGACCAGGTTAAGACGACATTTCCAGATGCACTACCGGTAGGGCAGGGAAAGACTGTCTAATGGACTAATTGTTTGGACCTGTTTGGCTGACTTTTCCCTCAGAGGGACCTAGTTTGAGATAAACAAACGTCATTTATAAACCGATAACGGCGTTACGTAGGAAGTACCGAGTCAACCTGCTAGACGCCATTTTTTTGAGTGATAAATCGCAATCTAAGGTTGGCTAACAATGCTTTATACCTAATACAACAATGAACAATGCGAAACATTGTAGACAAACCAGAATTTATCGTGAATATTGTAAAAGGCCAACTGAAACTTCATCCTTGAATCTCATCTACTTATCTAAAAGTTCTTAGGAAGGCCTTTCCTTTCGCGTTTACTCATTTTAGTGCTACGAGGTATTATTGCTGAGGAACCCCCAAAAAATATGTTATATAAAATTAGTTAAATCACTTCGAATCATTTTTATTGGATTAACATACTCGTAATGACATTGATACTACTATTCGTCATTTGTTTGTCTGGGCGGTCCGTAGGACCTTTGCCCATTGGTCACTGCCTAATGTACGTTAGTCGAATCTGTCAGTACTGGTTGCCCAGAAACCAGACAATGTTAAGGAAAAAGAGAAAGGGAAAGACAAGAAAAATGGAGAAGAGCAAAGAAAAACAGAAGTTTTTAATTTAATAGGAGACACCTAGGCTTTTTGACTTGGTGCACGGATTAATTTTGAAGTGAACTAAACAAATTTTTATTCGGTTTTGTTAGAGTATAATTTTAAGTTTACTAAAAGTTCGCGCTAATTTTTGATTACAGTGCGAGCCGTAGCCTTGAATGTGTAATGACATTGATGTAACAACATGTAATGTTAGGGGTAGGGCTCCGTGGTTTTTCAAACTAATTTCTTGTTCTGTGGTAGGAGTAGGAAGTGTGGAGGGTTGACATTATGAGTCTTGCATCGTCCCGTTGTCAGTTGACGTCATGATTTGGACAGGTGAGCATCGCAGCTTCGCTGTGCGTACGTTTTTTGAAAATGGCCGCTCCGTCATCGCCAAGCAGAGGGGTGTACTCGCGTACATTTCAACATTCCGCGTAATGTTACGGCACCTAGCGGTAAGACAATTAGACGTTGGACTCGTACATTGGAAGAAACTGGATCCACTACAAGGGCAGTAGTTGAATTGTCACCAAGGCTCTCTGCTCTGCTCGGAGGCATGCGATTGCTCTGAATATATCTGCTTGCTCTTGAAGGAGAATTCTGCATAAAGAACTGTCATTTTATCCCTATAAAAGCATGGTTGTTCAATAACTGACACCTGATGATTACATCAACCGTTGTCAAGAAATGCTTGAACGAATACTCGAAACATCAACTTTTTCAGCAGCGACGAGGCCCACTTTCACCTCTTTGGGGTTGTCAATAAGCAGAATTTTCGGTGCTGGGCTGACAGTACCCCAAGACAACTTCATGAGAGTCCTCTTCACCTAAAGTGTCTGTGTGGTGTGCGATGTCACAATTTGGGACCTTATTTTTTGGTCGAACAGTAACTGTTACAGCTGATCGTTATTTTTCAATGCTGTAAAAATCTTTTGAGTCACTATTGCAACAATTAAGTAACAAAACTAATTTAGGAGATCTGTGGTTCCAACAAGATGGGGCTGCAGCACACACAGCTCGGATTTCTATAGCGAAATTGAGACAAATTTTTCCTGGTGGGCTCGACGTGTCTTTGAGACTTGACTTGGTATGGCCAGCGCGCTCGCCAGATTTAAGCATATGCGACTTTTTCTGTGGGGTTATTTGAAGGAGACAGTTTTTAAGCATCGCCTCCTGAATTGTTGAGGAAACATACATCATACCCCAGAAATTTTTAGTGAAGTAGCTCAAAACTTCAAAAATAGACTACATCAGTGCATTGCCGCTGAAGGCCATCATCTTGCTGAAGTTGTGTTCAAAACTAAATAAAAAAATGGGATTACATACAAATTATAATAATAGTTTTAATCCTGTAAGTTATTCAGTTTTTCTTTGATACCTCTTCTAAGCCGGGTCAGAACTTCTGCCACAAACTGTATTTGTTTGTAGCCAAGAATCTGGATGGAGGCAAAGTGCGATGCCATTTTTCATATTTTGACATTTCAATTCAAGAATCAAGCTGTAATTGTTCATATGCTTTATGGTTAATAAATACTTACTTGCGTTTATTTGCCCTATTTAATTTACCACTGTTCTAGCAGGAACTAAAGGTACCCGCTCATTCAGGGGAAGAAAAGCGAATTAGGCTCCCGAGAATGACACTAAGCAATGCTTGTCATACGGTCTGTTTTCAGTTCATTGTCGGCTATTGTTGGGTTGACATTTTCGCGCGACGGGAATCGTTTCCCTTATCCTCAATGTGTGTCCTCCTTAAATGACACACCGCCATGCACTATTTCTGTTCTATACAAGAGTACACCCGGTATAATGGGTTACATGCATAGCGTTTCCAAAGAGATTGTATGCCTATGTATTGCTTTAACAATTTGGTAGGCATTAGTAGGCAAATCAACCCAAAGGTATGCACTAAGTCTACGTAATTTTGACCAAGAACGCTGGAGATACTTGCAAACATTAAATTCTCAAACACCCCGAAAAACACCACACATTTTTTGGAAAAAATCTCCATCAGAAGTTTCAGGATATTGAAAAAACAATTTGCGGATGACCTCAAATACGACGAAGACGATCTTAGAGAACATTTGAAGGTCAAGTTTGTAAATTCCCATAGCAACCACCTTTTTGATACCAGATTCGTTGTCGAGCTCCATAAGTGATTCAATCAGTGTAACCTATTATAACATCATTTTTAGTATACGATCACGCATTTTTTTGGAAAAGACGTTCTAGTAATGTTTTACGATATCCGAAAATCAATTTGTGGATGACTTTATACATGACTTAGACAATGACCTCAGAGGTCATTTGGAAGTCAAGTTTGTCCATTCAAACAACAATCACCATCTTTTATAACAGATTTGTGTCGAGCTTGAGATTCTACGTGGATCTTCATACATGAGCTTAAGCGACCACAAGTAGTTCAATCTGTATGACCTACGTCTGACAGTTACAAGAACGTCTCGAAGAGATGGTAGCAATGCATTTTTTTGGAAAAAAGATTCTAAGTTCTAGAACATCTGAAAATTGATTTGTCCGTTACCTCAAATATGACCTAGACAATGACCTCAGAATGCACTTGGAGTCCAGGTTTGTAAAAACTCAAATAGCAGACATACCGACTACATCAGTTACAGCCGTTTGACCTAATTCATTGATATGCAATTTGTAATGTAGAATATCGAGCTCGACACGAACCTGCTGTCAGAAATGGTGGTTGCTCTTAACCTATTCGGTGCCAATGAACAATCTCATGTGAATACAACTTTCAAAATTGAATACTACTTCCCCTCTTCTGATTCGCGGCAAGCAAGAGCGACTCATCCCAGCCACTCACACGTCTGACGTAACGCCACCGTCTTAACTTCGTCGAGCTGTAATTTGAGGAGCTCGTGTAAATCTATGAACTTGTCGCTGACTCTCGCAGCCCTTACCATCTCATCGCAAGTGTCTAATTAACAACTTTCGGCGCTAGTCAGAGTGAATAACTTACAACTTTCCACTAAAATCAGTTTATTATAGCAACCCCGGGGGAGATGTGTCGTCAAATTCTGCTTTGCTACCAGTCACCGGTTCTGAGATTTCTCAGATTTGTAGCTACCTCGTCAGGAGACTAAATGATTCTAAAGGTGACTATACGCTTTGGGGTAACTGACAGGATACCTACCAAATTTGGCTGACGTCGTGATGTGTATGACAGACGTATGAAGTGTGCAATACAGGGTTTGTCCGGAAAGTAATAGGACTAAGTCGATTTAAAAAAATTTATTGAGCCAATCGTTACAATTCTTTAAAAACTTTCAAAATAGGCTCCTTCTACGTCGATGCAGCGCTGCCAGCGCGATTTCCAAGCATTGAAGACGTCACGGAAGGCATTCTCCGGAATGGCCTTGAGAGCCGCGATGCATGCTGCTTGGATCCCCTCTGTCGTCTCAAAATGCTTGCCTTTCATCTTCCTTTTCAGGCGAGGAAACAAAAAAAAGTCCGGGGAAGCCACATCTGGGCTTGCTGCGATGTCTTGTCGGACCTGACTGAGCCTTCGTTTGAGTCTCCTGAGCACTGCCACGTAAAACTTGGCGTTGACGGTTTGTGCAGGAGCAACAAATTCATGGTGGACGATGCCTTTGATGTCAAAAAAGACAATGAGCATCGCTTTCACTTTGGATTTGCTCATTCTTCTCTTTTTTGGGCGAGGAGACGCCGTCGTGTGCCACTCGGAAGATTGCCTCTTTGTCTCGGGATCATACTCAAAGATCCACGACTCGTCACCTGTGATCACGTTATTCAAAAATTGGGTTCACTTTCACACATTCAAATTTTCTTGGCACACTTCCACTCGCCGCCATTCCTGGTCGTCACTGAGCACTTTTGGGACCATCTTCGCGCACACCTTGTGCATGTTCAAATGCTGTGTCACAATGTCATGAACCACATATTTTGGTAAATTTAACATCTGGGCAATTAAACGAATACTTAGTCGACGGTCTGAGTTCAAAACTTTGCGCGCACGAGTCACATTATCGGTGTTTGTCCAAGTCGAAGGTCTTCCAGCACGGTCTTCATTAGCAACCTCTTCCCGGCCCTCCAAAAAGGCCTGGTGCCACCGAAACACACCACTTCTTGCTAAAGCAACACCTGGGTAAGCCTGCTTGATCATATCAAACGTCTCTGTCACAGATTTATCGAGTTTCACACAGAATTTAATCGCGTACCTCTGCTCTAACGAACGCTGCATTTTCGGCTTGCACCACTCACAGAAACACGTCG